CTCGAAATGCACTGAAACCCGGTTCCCCTGCTAACGCCAAAGGGCTCCGACGTAATTCTCCCATCCGGCAGTTCTCGAGCACAGTCTATTTCTGGCAGCGGTTGCTATAACTGTCTGAACTGTGTGAAACCTCTGGGAATGATTTCTATGTTTTGTTGATTGAATTTTTTGTTCTTTTTATATAGTATTTAATTTTATGCAATGTTTTTTCAAACCGGTCAAGGTCTGTGCAACCTTTTCTCTTTGGGCACAACACATTTTCAAACGGATGGCGTCTGTCGGTACGTAATTTTTGCCAAATGTTACTCCTTTTAGATCGGTTACCTTGCCAGTTTGAATCTCCAAATGGTTTGTTTTCTGCTGCAGTGAAATGCAACTTGCTTTGAAGGATCAGAATTTTTATATTTCTTTGTACTTTTTTCCTGTGTGGTGAAGTCAGTAAAATGGGTATAAAAAACCAGTTTTTGTCCCTCTTTTGTGTTCTTTGCCTGGCCTTCTTTGAAAGCAGGGAAGAGCGATACAGGTTAATTCCCCTTTGGGCAAAAAAAAGATTTAAGAAAAACCTCTCTGAGCCGAGGGTATGGGTTCAAGGCTTTTGGGAGCCTCAAGGACTCAGTTTTGCAGATGCAAACCGAGTCCTAGCATGACCAGATAATCCTGCAGCTGGAACAAGCTGGGACAGCTTTTAGGTAAGAGCTTATTTGAAAAGTTTCCAGCGTGTGTCATGATCATCCTATATTGACAAGCAGTTTCCTGTTAACCGGCTTGGGTCCTTTTTAAGCGCACTAGTGAGTGAGGATCGCAGCCAGCTGCTGGCTTTGTCCTGCTGCCTGTGTTTCTCCCCTCATCCACAGGGAGGCTCTTTGAGCAGGATGTGGCCCGGATCCCAGCGCAGCCTGCGCAATCTAAGCAGGATAGACTGGGACAGACTGGGACAGAGGGAGCCCCACGGAGCTACCTGGATTTCCCTGTAGGTTGGAGGGCGGCAGGGCCATGTCTGTCAGCCACGAAAAGGGGAATAGAAAGTGCAGAGACGCCCTAAAGAGCAGATGACATGGGTGCTTCCGGGTAGTGTCTGCTGCTTCCTGCAGCAAATAAACCTTTCCTCCACTTTTTTTTCTGTAAAAGGAGAAAATTTCCCCCCTGCCCCCATGCACTCTCGCCCAGCTCGGCCGGATGCCAGCGGTGCAGCGGTGAGGGCAGGCCAAGCTAGGAGAAGGGAGGGCTGTGGTTTTCCCTGCTCACTGCGTCGCCGAGAGCTTGGTGAGGAGAAAACGGGGCGGAAGTGGGGAATTTAAAATGAACATTTTAGCATGTCTGTCTGCTCCGGCAGGTTTTGCACTGAGCAGTCGTCCGTGTCTCCCGGCGCGCTCAGAGCACGCCGTTCTGCTCCGTGTCTCTTGGGGGTGACTTCCCAAAGAAACGAGAAGCACTGCATTGCTCACTGCGTCGCCGAGAGCTTGGTGAGGAGAAAACGGGGCGGAAGTGGGGAATTTAAAATGAACATTTTAGCATGTCTGTCTGCTCCGGCAGGTTTTGCACTGAGCAGTCGTCCGTGTCTCCCGGCGCGCTCAGAGCACGCCGTTCTGCTCCGTGTCTCTTGGGGGTGACTTCCCAAAGAAACGAGAAGCACTGCATCGTGCTCCTCCGCGGGATTTTTTTTTTCAACCTGTTGCCCAATTCCACCCTGATTTGAGAGTGCTGTGAAAGTCTCAAAACTGTTCTCTCCCAACAGGTAGAGCGAACGTGGCGGGGAAGGAGCGACCCTGAGGGCAGCCAGAACAGCTAAGGAGCAGCGTCGGGAAGGTGACTCACAATAAATAAGCGTCCTTCAAAAAGCAGTCACGTTGAAGCACAGAACATAAAAGGCTTCACATAAGCTCTGGCGGAATTAGATTATTTAAAAAAAAAAAAAAAAAGGCAGTCCCACGCAGCTCAGAGATAATTTGAGTTTCGTTTAGCTTGCCCTTTATCGGTGGTGCTGAATTGCCTGGGGCTAAGCTGAGAAACGCTGATGTGGCTGGAGTTTCTCCCAGAGGCCCTTTGGGTGGAGTCCGCACGGATTTAATACATAAGCAGTGGGGAGATTCAGCCCTGGAGCGAAGGTGGAAGGTACCTACCGCAGCCGTGTCCTCTCCCAGCCCAGGGGTGCCTGACACCCAAGCGCATAGGGGAGGAAGGGCGAGTGCAGGGTGAGCTCTGCTTGTGTTGGTGGCTGCGGGGAAGGCAGATCTTTGCCTCCCTCCAACCACTTTTGTGGCCCTGAGGTCCCGGAGAGCTGTCTCGGTGCCTGGGGGGCATCCCCCATGTTCTGCACAGGAGCAGTTTGGGCTCAGCCTTTCTAATGCTTTGGCTTTTGCGCTTATTCTTGGTCCTAAAGAGACAACAGGAGGAGAGGACCGTCGGTGAATACTGGCAGTCCTCGAGATGTCCCAACCCATCCGTCCCCTCCTTTCGGATCCCGCCTGGAGCTCCTTCGCTCTCCCGCCGCCGACTATGCGGAGGAAGTTTGCAAAGGCCCAGCTATCGGCCACGAGCTCGGAGACCTGCCTTGAGCAAACGTTCCCCGACGCCCTCCCTAGCCTCCTCTTTGGGTCCTGCATTGACCCACCGAGCTGCAAGGCTGCTCGTAAAGCCCTGATTATTTAAACAAAGGAGCGGCCTCATGCCCAAACAGCTCGAACTTGAGGTGATCTTTTCAACAGCGCACTGGTATTTTCATTCTGGGTAGGGCACTGGGCAGGTAAATACAACTGCAAGACAAAAGTCTGCATCCCAGAGCCTGCGCAGGTTCATTTAGATTGCCTTTGCGAGGTTAGAGCTTTTTCACAGGAAAAAGTCGTGGGGAGAAGCGGGAGAAGTTCCCCCTCCCGAGCCGTGTGCGACTGCGGCTAGGAGCTGCTCCCTGCTACCTTGTCGTTTGCTGAAATCATCTTGACGGTCAAATTCACTCTGATATATTGCACCACGGGGAAGGATCAGACCCAGCTGCATGTAGTGTATTCGAGCCTCTCCCCAGGTCACTCGGGCACGTCCCATGTTTGGCTGGTTGCCTTTTCAGAGGGATTTCCTGTTGGTTTTCTCAAACCGTGTCCCTTTTTCCCCGCTGCCCTCCCCGGGCTCTGCTGCTGAGCTGCCTGGAGCACCACGCGGGAAGGTGCTGCCCGCCTCCTCCAGAGCATCACCCACGCGCCCGCTGCCCGTCACCTGCGTGAAGACGACTTGGGCCTTGCCTGCGAGCCCCGGGCAACTCTGCACCGAGAACATGCAGAGGACGCGAGCCGGACAGCGCCTTCCTTGCCTGCAGATGATGCTCACGAAGACATCGCCATGCTGGCGATGGATCCCGCATCGCGGGACAGACTTTCCTCTTGCAAAGCTTTTTATTATTATTATTATTTATTTCATGTGCTTCTCCTCCTGGCGGCAGAGGGCTTTGAGCATCTTCCCCTGCGAGCTCAGCTTTTTTTTTTTTTAATGATTATTATCTTTATTTATTATTATCCCTCCCAGAGGAGCAGAGATCAGTACTGTCGCGCCTCCGGGATGCGACGCGGAGAGCCCTGAGCCGGCAAGCGCTGCGCAGCTTAGCACGCCGCTCGCTCTTAAATAGCTTTAAATCGGGCTTAGCTCGATCCTCTCTCCCAGCACGGGCGCTCTGCTGACCTGTTGACCGGCAAGGCTGAAAACACAGCCTTGAGCCTGGGGAAGGAACGTGGCTGCCTCTATCTCGCGGGGCTTGGCGAACCTACGCGATGCCCCTGTGGCTGTGCAGCCCCGTTTCAGGGAGGTTTTTGCCCTGTTTTGTTTCTGCTGGCTGGGAGAGGTGGAGGAGCTGTAGTGGCAGCCTCCATCTCTCCGGCAGCACGCGGTGTCCCACCGGGTCCGTCTTGGGAGAAGGCTTTTGCCATCGCAACGGCGTCAGCACCAGCTTTTTCCCGGCCGGCGCGCAGAGGAGTGCTCTAATAGACGGTGGAAAGGGGAACGGCTCTTACGGCGTTTCTCAGGACTTTGGCTTCGTTGGC